GCTGTCCGGAGCGATGGACAAGATGAGAGGCGGAAGTAGCAGGCACGCGAGAAGCCTGAGAGAGATAAAAAGGGGGTTTCGAAGGTGACATTAATTAAATATAAAAGGATGGTGACATGTATGAATGTGAAAAGGGAGGAGCAACTAAAATGAATTAAAGAATGGACCTACAAACAGTATCCAATATTAGTACTGAATGGAATATATATTGCTTGTAAAATGTAGTGGAATCTATGCATGATAAGGTATTAAACAACAGAATGAAAGGCACTGGCAGCATTGAGTAGAACATGCATACATTTCAGCATAGAGGAAATCAGGAAATGAGAGTTTTAAGAAACTTTGAGGATCCTACTATCAGCATAAACTTAAAAATTTAACGATTAATATTTAATTGATGGTATGAAGACCAAAATGGTGGCCTTTTGTGTGGTCGCAGTCTCCTTTCGTTGTATAGAGGTTGCTTGACCTTGTTTTCCCAACTTGGTCATATTGGTAGGAAGATTTAGAGGAACACATCTAGTACAAAGTCCATTGTATGCAGGATCATTTCCAGATTAGGACCGTGAACCTGGTACATCCCAGACGTTCTGCCGGCATCGTCAGTGAGTCTCGCCACTCTTAGCACCACACAACAACTCGTCAAAGAGACAGGTAAAGCTGATCCTTTGACCAAACGTGAGCTAAACAGTTGTGTTATCTCCCCTTCTGTCCTAAGCTATTGACATTTGTTATATCCTCCTATCACGCCCTCACTGCTACACCTATCAGCATGAACTTAAAAATTTAACGACTAATATTTAAGTTGGAAAGGTTTTCGAAGCTATGAAGACCAGGATAGCGTGGACCTCGATATGGTTTTAGTCTATTTTCGATTTATAGAAGTGGATTGACCTGCTTTTCGCAACTTGATCATGTTGTCAGAGAGACTTGTTAAAACGCACATTATCCGAAGTCCTCTGCCATAGTAGTTATCATAAGTCCTAGTATCAGACCAAGGACTTGCTACATTCTCAGACGTTTCGCCGGCATCGTACTCGGCAGCATAAGTGAGTGCTGCCATTCTCCGCACCAAGCTACGAACTAGTAACTTTGTGCTTACGATGGCGCCTCTCAATGACGATGTCCAATACCGGAAATCACGAATACTATGGCAGAGGGCACCAAGACTAGGTACGCTCTACAAGCTCTTCTTGACGCTCTGGCGAAGTTGCTAAAACAAGGTCGAACCAACATTATAAAGCTTAAAGAGACTGCGACTAAGCAGAAGGCCACACCATCTTGCTCTTTATATATATAATTTAACTTTATGCCTACTTTACATCAACAATAAAGCGATAAACAGATCACACATGAATCAAAGTGCTCAGAGTGAGCACTCATTTCACTAGATTGCACTTACTTCATTTGAGGTAACGAAGCCACGTTGAAACTGGAGCCGATGCTGTTGCTGTGCTGGAAGAGAGGATAGTTCCAGGCCAGCTTCTTGGAGTCCAGATAGATTTGAAGCCAGATGACCCGGGTATCCGGGATGACCTTAAAAAGGAAAGGAATAAATACAGGAAATAATAATAAAATACGGAAAGATAAAAGCGAAAATATGCAAATAAAAAACGAAGCACTCTTTGCCTCTACACTGGACCTATACCTCCAGTCCTGGAAAATTGGCATATGCTGAGTTTTAGACACATTTTCTAAAAAGCCTTCACTAGAACCATGGGTGACTAACACAAGAATAAATGGAAAACTACATATATCAAGCCGTTTTACATGCTTCGTATCTCACAGACAAATAGCTACTGAACTGAAAAATTAAATATTAGTCAGAAGATCTTCGCCTCCGTTTTTATTGGTTGGAACTCACAATTCGAAAACCGTCGCAGTCATAGGGGCCCTGCCCTTCTTCATCGCCTTT